TGAGTCCGATCTAGTAATGAGACCCGAACCCTGTAAACCCTTCTCTAAAAGACAGGAAAAAAGGGAAAAAAAGCAAGTGATACAGAATTTCAAAGAGAAACATGATAGGAATTCACCAATAGTTGTTATATTCTCTATTGCTGTCTTCAATGTAGTTGCTCAGATTACCAGATGTAAGTATGTAAAATTGGTCAACATAAAAATTTTAAGCATTAACTGATCCCTTCAAAAAACAAATAGAAATTAGTAGTGCGATCACTGTAACTACCCTGTGTCTATAGACACGTGATTTTTCCCCTTCCTTTTCTTCTTTCTTTTCTCCTTTCCCTCATCTGAATTGTTCATTCCTTTTGAGCAGTTTCTTTCCCTTGTGCGCTATCTATTGTATGATGTGAGTATTGTTCACTTATGAGTACGGTCTCTACTTGCATCCACTTATCTATAAATGCCTCGAGTTCATTTTTCTTTTAAACAATGGAGTGTTACTCAGCCAAAGAGATCATTATTTTTTTCACAGATTCTATTTGACTTATTTAACTCTTAAAGTTTTTTCATTTATGTTTTACTCTTATTTTTCCCACTTAAATGGGGGAAAAAAAACAGGTCATGTGTCTTGTAGTTCTGCACTGTCTGGACAATTTTCTGATTGGCTGCATTCATTTGATGTCATTGAATATGATTCTCTATCTCTGTTTTACCTGAAAACTAGCAGTAAAATATAGAAGCTTCATGTGTTTCCTTCCCTCCCTTTATATTTGATTTCATTTATATAAAATAGAAAGAACAAATATAAACCATGTCAACATAACCAAAGAATTCTCTAAATATAAATTGCTTTTTTATTTGAGCTATATTTATATTGACTGTTATCTATTTATATAAAATTCTATCTTGATGGGAACCTCTGTCTCCAGATAGCATTTGCAAAGTCTAATCTAAGATTATACAATACAAAATTATTATCATTCAAACATATTTTCATTTATTAAGTACAATTATGTAGGGAGAAGCTTTTGTTTCACATGTGTCTCCTTTTCTTCACAAAATCTGACAGGAGAAATTATGAATTTGTTCATGTTGCTTACCTCACAATAGACAAGAACCAGTTGTTCTTTGTATATTTTATTAGTACACTTTTATGATAAACATTACATGTACCATGAAGAGCTAGTATATGTATATCTTTTGCACTTTCTTACCCATATTTCTTCTGTCCCTTCATCTCTAGCTCTTCCTATTTGCAAAAATCCCTTTGCATCATCAGCCTTGACTTACAAGTACCTTGTGCAGCTATCTCAGAAAATCACTATGCTTTAGAATAGAAAATAATGGACTTTCAAAAATGTCTCCTTATACTTAGATTTGCTTAACAGTGTCTTAGATTGCCTTGGTGAGTTCTTTTGACTGAAAGTTGTTGAGAAGACTGAAAAACTCAAAGTAATAGACATACATCTTTTGTACACCACCAGTCCTAAATCTATTTTCTTTATTGATAAAATGGGGAGAATTAATTTTAAAAGGTGGTAACTATTGATTACTTAATGGAAGATGTCAAGAGATGCTGAAGTGAGTCTAATCTGTGCCCTCCTTTGGAATATAACCAATTATCCAGCAGTGGAAATCACTTTGTAGCGTTTATTAATATTTAATAACCAGGAGGCAGGATGGGGGTAGGCTACAGAACTGCCACAGGCGTGGGCTTGTGTGGGCTGTGAGACTGTACTAAGTACACGACAGAGCAGTAGATTTCCTGTGTTTCGGTTGATGGGAGGCAGGACAGCAAGCCCTCATTTTCCTTCTGCGATCCCTCAGCAATGATGACCTGAGGAAAACACCTAACAGGCAAGTGGGCACGATTAACACCCTAGGAAGTCCCTCTAGGTTAGAAAGCTCTACAGGAGAAGGGTACAGACTTTCCAGTGTGGGGCTCAGCTTCAGTCCTTTTCTTCCTTGCCTCTCAAGAGGGGGTGACGGGCTTGTTCAGCAGGGTCAGCAAGTTCACAGAAGGTGTAAACTGTGGCTGACATAGACACCATCCTTGGCTTGATATTCTGTAACACAGTGTCTCTCAGACTGACCCTTTGACACCTGTCAGGACCTTGTTACTCAGCTCTCTTAAAAAGGAAATAGGAGTTTTAAGGATAGCTGTTGGGGAGAGGTCAGTAGGAGTGGTCTGAAGGACTAGGACTGTCGAAACAGACTTGACTGAGAGGAGCAGGGGTTTCTGACAGGACAATGCCAGTTTCTGTGGTTTATTGACTTCCATTATTAATTTTCCAAAGTACTAGGTGGTTTTGTCAGTATCATCAGCTTTTCAAAAAAAAATATTTTAAGTGCAAAATGAACTAAAGCTCTTAAGACAGGATGTAATCTTGGGATTCACTAGAGAACCTAAGATCAGACATCTACCATCCGGATAATGCATAAAATTAAATAGATTGTGAAGAATTATCATTTTATGACTCAACAATTACAAAGAAATTCAAAGATGTGTGTAAGAAAACATATCTGGATTATTTACAGTTGCCTGTCTAAAATGAGCTCCATAAGAATACAGATTTAGCCTTGTAAGCAAAAGGTAGCCAAGAAAATAGTCTCCTATTAACATAATAAGCTTGTTCTCAAAATTAATGCATGAAAATCACCTGTACATCTCATTGTGATTTCATGTTAAAAGTTTAAAAATTAGGTTTATTCACAATCTTATGCTGTGTGTCTGTACGCTGCTTCAATTTATTCTCTATGTGTGTATTCTCTTTCTTTTATCCAGCAGAAAATTGTAAGTTACCAAGAGTTAGTAATGCTAAATGCATTTGTGTTAGGTTTTAGTTTTTAAAAACCTAGATCTTTGTGAGGTACCATGGGGGCATACTTAGATGTGGGTGTTTTTGTTGTTCTTTTTTATTTATATATTTATTTATTAATGTATTTGGTTGTTACAGGGTATCACTATGCAGCTCTGACTCGTGATGATCTCCTGCTTTCAGCCTCCCCAGTGCTGGGATTACAGGCATGCACCACCATGCCCAGACTCTGTGGCCAGCTCAGCCCGCTCTAGGGGTGGCACTGACACAGCATGTGGTGCCAGGGATCCAACTCGGTCCCTGCGCTTGCCTAAGCAGGCACTTTAGTCTGATGAGCTATCTTGCTGGCCCTTTGTTGTTTTATTTTTGACATTTATGTATATTAGTTCATTAATACCACTTGCTAGCAAAATGTCAGAAAAACATACTTTGTACATTTTTAAGAAACCCATGATTCACTCTTTATCCAGTGATTAAAAGAAGGTTCATGGACCAAAATGTATAAAATAAATATGAAATAGAAAGAAAAGGGAACTGGGAGTGGGAAGAGAGGAGTGAAGTGAGGGAAATGGGAAAAAAATGGAAGGAAAAATGGAAACAAAATTTTTGTAAGTAGGGGAAGAAAGGTTGAAGGGAGAGGAGGAGAATGAGAGAAAAAGAATCAAGATATATGATGTACAAGCATGAATCCCCTTGTGAATGAATGTTATCATTAATGCATATCTAAAATATGCCAATAAGATTAATTTAAAATATAGAATTCATAGATTTTCCAGCCTCTACTCTCAAGGAGTAATATTATAATAAAAATAATTAAATTGAATTTTTTTCCAAATGGCTTAATTCTAATACATAAAGCATTGAAGACAGTTTAAATACTACAAATAAAAATGTTATGAATATTTAACATATTTTTCTATGCCTTCTGATACTGCATGGAAGACTTTTACATAATCTGTATATGCAACACAGAATCTACTTATAATTATTTTTAAGAGTGAGAGTTGCAAACCTTAACTTTCCTTTCATTTCCTTCCCAATTTTATAGCGCAGCAGCAGTTTTGGGAATTTTGATCGTTTCCGGAATAATTCCATTTCAAAGCCAGATGATTCAACCGAGGTTGGTCCTTCATTCTATTTTTATGATGGTTACATACACACAAAATAAAACATTGTGAGGATAAACACTTTTCAAAGTACAGTAAGGTAAATAAATGTCTTCAAATGATATCTTTACGTATATTTTGGGGACAGCAAACAATCATCTACGTATCAGTACCATGCTGGGCATTAAGGTAAAACCTATCTCAGAAGCCTACCAGATATTTGAGAAGACATAACGTAAGTAGAAGGTAGTTGAAATTCAAGGTGACATTACAGTTTCAAAGTTCATGAGTATTTACATAAACAAACGTCATACATGTGTGCTGTCTATACACACATAATTTTATAGCATATACCTCATTTAAATTAAGAAATGATCAAGTGACTTTGTTGTAGATTTTTTAAGATGAGCATATGGCTACTCATATGTACCCTTGCATTCTTGTTACATGCATCTATCTATATTTTAATATTTTTAAATTTCAGGAGGGAATATTCTGAACAAAAGAATAGAAATAAAATGCTATTTATTATTACTTTATAAATATCTTTATTTGAACATCTATATTCGTGTTTGTGTAAGTTCCCTTTAATTCATATATAAATATATATCTTTCATCCATCTAAATATTTAGAGATGAACAAACTTATATGCAGTTATAGGTCTATCAACTTTAACGTAATTGTAAATAATACAATTAATATAACTGAAGGAGAAATAGAGAGAAACTTATCATGCAGTCAACATCTTGGATAAGCTTTCTACTGTCCATAATCTTACCTGCTACAGTCTACAGTTCCAGAGTAAGCCTTTACAATTGTAGCACAAACCTGTAAAACTAACTCAATGAACTATTCAAGTTTGTTGATAACTTATAGTGACTAATGACTTGTAAAAGAATATAGTTAATGCGATAAAGTAGGAAGCATATTTTTCAAAAACCATCATTTATTCTACATCTATTCAGCAAATGTCTGTGACAAAATTTCTGTCAGACCCTTAGGAATTATTGTTGCACTCACAGAATAAGATGTTTACTTCCGGAAGCTTTGAGTCTAGGGAGGCAGACACCAGAATCAACAAAACCATAAATGAATATCTAGATGCAAATGTGGTCAGACTGTGAAGAGGAGCACAGAAAATGATTTTTAAAAATTTAATATACAGATACAGTTTCTTTGAAATTTCTGTAACTAGTGATGGAAAAATCAAATAAAAATTCTATTTTTGAGGCTCATATAATGACAGGCAAACACCAGTTACAATAAAATAACAAACTTTCAAATTTATGTTAGCATAATAATTTCTATTGAAGATATAAAACAAGCATCAACAAGAAAGAAGAAAAAGGTTAACTCTAAATTTTTTAAGTGCTTCAAAATCATATTTTATTTAGAGGTTTTGAATTAAATAAAAATCTTTGCCTTTGTAACCTTGAATGTAGAAATTAATAAAGTGCAATGAGGGCTTAAATTGGCTGTCTATTCGTATTTGTCATAGGCCACTTAGGGGTAAGATACGGAGCAAAACATAATATTGATTAACAATGATGATAACTATGTGTTTAAACTTTCATATTAAAATATTCAAGTTCACTCAAGAGACATTTCTCATTATTTTTATGTTCAGGGAATAATGGACTGTGCATTTACCTAAATGGTAGGTGGTGCTAAATTGCATAACCTTCAAATTTCACTTCTTGCAAATTTGAGGTAGTAAAGATGAGTAACCCAAATATGGCCTCCAAGAGAAAATGTGCTGAAAAGTTCTACAAGAAGAGTTTCATTCATTCAAAAAGTATCAAGCACTAGTTCTGTGTCTGGAAATATTATAGACCCTCAGAATAAAGAAAACACATAGGATCTCCATTATCATGAATCATACAACAAATGGAAGATACAATCGCTGAATGAATGAACAGTATTGAGTAATGCTAAGTTTTTAGGAAAAAAATAAATCCACAAATAGGATATTTGCATAAATGTGAAGAATGGTCACTTAGAAATTTTCTGAGGGCCAGCGAGATTGCTCAGTGGACTAAGTGCCTGCTTAGGCAAGCACAGGGACTGGGGTTTGATACCAGCACCACATGCTGCACCGGCCTCCCTCCTGGGGCACACTGATTCAAGATTGGACGTGGTGGTGCATGACTGTAATCCCAGTACAGGGTAGGCTGAGACAGGAAGATCACTAGGAGTCTGAGCTATGTAGTGAGACCCTATACCAAATGCATTTAAAAAAAAAAAAAAAAAGAAAAGGAAAGGAAAGGAAGGAAGGAAGGAAAGAAGGAAGATAGATAGATAGATAGATAGATAGATAGATAGATAGATAGATGATAGGGAAAATTTCTGTGTGGTTACATGATAATGTGAATAGAAATAAATGATTTAAGGCAGAAATGTGTGGCTGCTTAAGGAATCCAAGGAAAAGCAGGTACACACTTCAATGGGAAGCTAATAGACAGCAGTGAACTGTCAATGCTACAGTTGTTTTCAAACTTTAGTGTGTCTCTGTATGTCACAGAGAAGAGCATTTTAGAAAATAATTCACCCCAAAACATCCTGATGGTGTTGACCTGGGGACCACATTATCAAAACTACTGGTATATACAGTAAATGAAATATGATAAATAGATAACAGTGAAGTAATGATATTTTATTTCACACCGATTCTTAGACTGTGTCACACAGTTTTTGTGTTGTCATTGAGTTTTGTGTGTTTTTAAAACTTTGTTTTTTATTCTGGTACATGGAAGTCATTGCTTTAAGCAATGGGCAGAACCTGTACAAATAAGAGAATTAGTAAGTAAAGCATAGGAATTAGTTAGATGACTGTACAAAAGGATGGGACCAGACTATTGATTGAGAATGTGGAAAATGTGCATGCAGTCTTACTTGACAAGGAGAAAAATTAAAAGTCTCTATCATTTTAACAAACTTCAAAATTGACAAGGAGAAAAATTAAAAGTCTCTATCATTTTAACAAACTTCAAAATTTATTAACAGTAACCAATTACCATCTCCCTTTTTAGGGCATCAGGAGGCCACATTAGCTCTCATGCCAGTAAATGTAGCAGCCCTTCTAAACCCTCCAATAAATGTCTCCGATCTATGTAGACATATTCACCTGCTGTGTGTGGCATTTATTTGTATTGCCCCACTGAAAAGCAAGAAAAACTAAAAGATTTCTTCACAAACACTACATTTAGCTCAAATTCTAAGATATAAGTTTAGATGTGGTATAGGGAAAGTAACTCAGTTGGAAAGCCTTTGCCTAACATGTACAGTGTTCTGAGTTCAAACCTCAGAAATGCAATGAAAACAAAAAGAAAGTGACAAAAATGTGACGCTCTGAAGTAACTTGGTAACTAGGCCTTGATGACTTCAAAAATAATGTATTTTGCCCAGCTTTTTAAATTTTAAAAGTTGTGATGCAGTGTTTAGGAAGTGCACAAACTGGTGATATTTAACAATGTTTTCAAATCATTATTTTTATCATTGTATTATTTTGTCTTTTGTAAAAATTTCTAAACCAGGTACATGGAGGGAAACCCATAAATGAAAATGGAGAACAAAACAAAAATTCAAATAATGCAGGAACTCTGGGTAAAAAAATGAGAGCTATTTCATGGACAATGAAGAAGAAAGTGGGGAAAAAGTACATCAAAGCCCTTTCTGAGGAAAAGGTAGGAGCACATAATTAATCATTTATATTTTTCTATTAAAATTTTTTCTTAAAATATTTAATAATTTTTTTCCAGATGTGGCCATGTTCTTGGTGCTTTATTTTTTATTTTTATTTTCTTGGCTGGCTTAGCCCACCCTGAGAGCGGGGCTGGAGAGGCAGAGGCATGTGGTACTGGGACTCGAACCAGGATCTCCTGTGGCTGCCTAAGCTTGTCTAAGCAGGTGCTTTAGACCACTGAGGTATCTTGCAGGCGCATCTTGGTACTTTACGAAGCAGCTCTTAACCATATATTTCTTGATCATCAAGCCCAAAAATTGGGTGGAAGAAAATATTAGTACTGGAGTTATTTACTTTAGAATTCTACTCATCCATGGTAGCTGTCTATTCTTCATTCCCCCACTTCAAATAAATTGCCCTCTTTCATGAAAAAAGAAAACAATAATATTATCATTTTTAAAATTTGGGGATAGGGCAGGCCAGATAGCTAGGAGGACAGAACCGCCTGCTTAGGCAGAGTGCTGCGGCTGGGGTTCGATCCCCAGCATGCTGTGCCAATCCCACCCCTGGGCACACTGAAATGAGATTGAGACTGGGCATAGTGGTTCATGCCTGTAATCCCAGTGATTGGGGAGCTGAAAACAAGACAATCACTGTGAATCTACATAGTGAGACCCTGTAGACCCTGTAGACGCTGTCCTAAATACATTAAAAATTTAAAATAGAATAAAATTTGAGGATAGAATTTCATTAAATTGCCCATTATAGGCTCAAATGTGAGTCTCCTGCCTCAGCTTCCCAGAGTGCTGGGATTACAGCATCCACAGTCATGCCTAGTTAGTACCACCATTTTAATACAAGAGATTTAATACAAGAGCAGAAAGATCATATATCTAGCGTATGAGGAACAATGCGTAATTTATGCTGTAGAAAATGTCAGTGTCTCTTTTTATTGCAGATAGTATTGTATTTTCTTTTTTTTTTTTTTTTTTATATTTTAGGGAAGGATCTACAGGGTGTTCAGGGTCTCATTACTAGATCCAACTCGTAGTGATTCTCCTGTTTTTTTTTTTTTTTTGCGGAACCGGGGATTGGACTCGGGACCTTGCACTTGCCAGGCAAGCGCTTATTCTACTGAGCTATCTCCCCAGCCCCAGTATCGTATTTTCTACATAAACCACAATTTCCATGTTCTTTCAGCATTAAATAGATATTTGGGGACTGCTCCTGCAAACATTTCTGTTGGTGTGTGTGTGTGTGTGTGTGTGTGTGTGTGTGTGTGTGAATATGTTTTATTTCCCTTGAGCCTGTGGTAAGTATATATTTAATATTTTCAGAAATAGCTATCTTTCAAAGCAACTGAATCATTTTTACATTACTCTAGCAAGGTATAAAGGGCTCTAATTTGTCCACATCTCTGTCAGCATCTGTTGTCATCAGAGATTTTTTGTTTGCTTTTCAATGTTAATTCTTTAACAGAGGTGAAGTGGAATCTCACTGTGACTTTTCCAATGACTAATGATATGACTAATTTTATGACTAATGATGCTGAGAATGTTTGCATGTGTTTGCCCGTAGCTATGTCTTTTTGAAGTGTTTAAATATCTTTTGCATTTTTAAATTGATTTATCTTTTTCATTGTTTAAATGTGATATTTTCTAAGTATATTTTTATCAGATGTATCACTTGTAACATAAATCAGTTTCCATTGTCTTGTGAATTTTATTTTCACTTTCTTATTAATATTTTTGCATCACATATGTTTATAATTTTGTAGTAATCAGTTTATTTCTTAACTTTTGAAATGTGTAAGAAACTGTTATTTATCATGCAGTCATGAGAGTTACATTTTGATACATGAGCCATTTTGAGTTACTTTTTCTATGCTATGTAAGAGAAATCCAACTTCACTCTTTTATATGTGAATATGAAGTTGCGCCAGTTTCATTTATTGAAGAGACTGTTCTTTCCTCATTGTATTATCTCAGCACCCTTGTTTAAAATCAATTCACCATGAATGCAGTTATAAATGTATACATCATAAATATATGGGTTTATTTATGGACTCAATTTTATTCTGTTGACTAATATATGTACATCACCTATATATTAGGTCTATTCCTCTTATGTATTATATTTATAGATAATAAACCTATATTGGTATCATCACTTAGTTGTCCAGTAGATTACTGAAACCTAATATACACAACACTGAAAGAGAACTTCTCGAAACTCCTACAAGAATACAATCAGTTTTTATTTACTCTTCCCAATGGCAACAGATAACATTTTCTTAATTCTGGATACAAGAACTGAGACAGCATACGAGAGAGCCAGAGAGAGGAAAAAGGAAACCTAAGAATAATTACTTCTATACTACTTGCCTTAATTTTTAACATTTATTAATAAGAATATCACTTTCATTTTAGTCTCCATGCAAGCTGTTTCTATTTTACACTGTATAATTTATTAACCTTGACTGTAATTAGTTTAAGTGCCTCCTTTTTTCCACTGTTTCGCCCATAAAGCCCATTCTCCACCTGAAAACTAGATCTATGAAAAAAGGGAAATCAGGATGCATGATGTCCCTGGTTAAAGCTTCATGTTATCTTTAAAACACAGTCTTACTATAGTTTATTCCATCGAGATTTTGGCGAAGCAGAATTTAAGAAGGAAGAGAAACTGAAGATTTATCAGGAAAAATGTCTGCAAAGGACAAAGAAGAGGCAGGAATATATGGGCAGGAAAAGTCTTTTGATTGCAGTGTAAATCTAACACCTGTAAAAGGAGGGAAGGAAGGAAGTAGGTTCAGTGAGAGAGAATTTCAGACATCAACCCAGTTCTAAGAAAACTGGAAGATTGATGGCAAGACTGTGAATCAAGTCTTCTCATTAGAAGAGCCTCATGTCCCATGGAGAATGGGTTCAGGTAAAACTCCCACTTTCTCAGTCATTGTTTCCATGCAAATCCAGGGATGCATACAGAGTGGGGGACAACTAGAAGTGTCCGTGTATTCATCCATTTTCTTTAGCCAACAGTACAGTATCAGGACTGGACAAGTTGTGAAGGAAAGTGGTTTACTTAGGCTCTCAGTTTTGGCTCAAAATCGAAGGATCACATCTAATGATGGCTATGGTTCAGGGTGTCACCCACTGAAAGAGTGTGTTCATGCATTTTTCTTGTCTTCTTCTTCTAGAAGAGCCAGCACTATTCATTTCTGGAGGCTTCATTCTGATGGCTTTATCTAAAGCCCTCATTGCCATCAGAACTCATCTCAAAACATCAAATTTCTACCTCTTAATATCTCACAGTGGGGATTAAATTCCAACATGATGTTTAGAGGAGACAAACTACATTCAAATCACAGCATTTGTTTTTGACACCACAAGACTCATGTCCTTCTTATAATGTACAGTTCAGTCAATAATGCAATTTATCACAGCAAGAGAAATAAATAGCACATTTCCATTGTCACCACAAAGCTCTAGAAAGCTCTTTATGAATTGGTGCTAGTCTATTTCTCTGAATTCATATGTGAATAGTCTTCTCTCTACATTCATCTGCACAATCCAAGTTATGTGTGATTTCAGCTGCTTTGTCCTTATTGTTGTTTTGCTTAAAAATCTATCTCCAATGCTTTGTATAAGTCATATCTTCTCATCACTCAGGTCAATAACTCAAAGCACATACTACCTTACAATACAGACGGCTGGGTTTAACCCATCCAAATCAATCATCCTTCATTTTACTGTGGCCCTAGTACCCATTCTCTCATATCATCCAGCTTTATTTCTGTCATGCCACTTATAATCCTCTGAAATTGCCCTGGTTGTCTTGCTTGCACACCTTGCTGAACACTCTAAATGCACATGCATAGATGGCATATGCATGCAAATTGTTTAATACACCAGACTGCTCTGCATTACAGCGAGGGGTAAGTTAGCCTATTACATTGTTTACCATGAACTTCCCAGTTCCTGGAGCAGTGCTAAATATCTAAGATGTGTTTCATAAAGCTGAAGTGAATGACTGAATGAAAAATAAAAGAATAATTAGAATCAAAGTAAATATACTATATATATATATATATATATATATATATATATATATATTCTGAAGTTTTATCAATGCTTAGGAATGCTCAAAATGAGCATATTGAATTGCATTCTGATGAGTATTAAATTTGCAGTCTTTGTCCAAACTATCTAAATATGGAAAACATTTGAGACATTTTCAAGGAAATGTAATTTGTTTTGAAATTGTCTGTCTTTTCTAATTTTATGCAAGATTTGCTTTTCACTTGACTAGGTGGCAAGCACGGTATGAGATTTGTAAAGCTCCCTCCATGAGCTTTGTGTTAGACTTGCAAAGTGTGCATGTTTTATTCATATCTAGTGATCTAGTAGGGTGCAGAGAACTGACATGAAACAACCATGCAGAGTTTAGACCCGCAGGATCTGATCTTAAAGGGTTAGTAATGGTGATGAATTGAGGAGAAGGAGAACATGGAGAAGGAGAACGTGAATAAGGAGAAGTGCTTCAACAGATAAGTCACAGATTTCAATAAATTTAACCTTCACAATTAAGTAGCCTTGATACAATATTCATCCTAATTTGCAAAAATAAGCTTTCATAAATTCAGTCAAATTCCACAGTAATAAATGTCTTATCTAAGGAATTTTTCCAAGTATACTCTAAAGTGTTTCACTAGAAATTGAAATAAAGACTAATGGCACTTATATTTTATGCTGATGTATTCCCAAGTACTTTATTGCTAAAATATGTCTTGTTTGCTAAATCAATGCACACAGGGAACATCTCCATGGAAATGTGCTCTGTGCACTTAACCTCTGCTATGTTTTTCTGAAGGATGGGGAAGATGGAGAGAATGCCCCGCCATGTCGGAACAGTGACCCCACGATTGGGATCCACACGGAGAAGGTCTCGCTCAGAGCCAGTGACTCCGAGGACAGTCTCTACAGTGGACAGAGCTCATCAAGTAAGGCTAATGAGTAAAGGCCACAATTCAGCCAGGAGGTCTGGGTTAAGTTAATTATAAAACAACAAATCTTCCCCTCTGGAGTTTGTACATAAAATTAGTAATAAGATTCCAGTTATTTGATTAAAAATGATGAAATGCATTGAATCTACATGGTAGATCATTGAATCTACATGGAGGAACAACTATTGAAAGCAATATATAATACACTTGAATTATGTATGCTTCAATAATTTTAGTGCTATAGTCAGCAGAGTTCTTGGGGATGTGCCCTCAAATAGTTGTGTTGGATAATTAAATCTGTTATTTGAGATCAAAAAGACCAGATGTTTCAAATGACTTTTACTGCTATTTTCCTATTGGAGGCAGAACAGTTAATATGAAAATAATCTAATGGAGAGACATGTACAAATTCAGTTTTCATAAGTGTTTGGTCTGGAAATTTTAAAATTTTAAATAATGATTCTTATCACAGGGAAAAATCTTACTAGCCAGAATGTAGCATAAAACCACAGGGTTCTTTGTGGAAGGGAGGGTGCGAGGTGATAGTTTTCCACTTAACATATTATCTTATGCGGCTTAATTTCTGTGATTAGACACAATTATTTTTCTTCTATCCAAGTTCATATAAAATGTGGAGCTTTGTAAAGCATGTTTACCTTACATCTGTAATGACTCATATTACAACTCGGGCTGTCCCTTCCTTGACCAAAGCCCTAAAAAGCCAACTTGTAGGGCAGTGAGGAGGCACTGCAGACTGGTGAGAAGTGAAGTGTTCCCCTGGTGACTGCTCTTGCCTGCCCTTGGGCAGGTAGCAGGAGAAAGTCCCACACTTTTTTCCCCGAGATTCAAGATTAGGAAAAAAAAGGTCAGTAGGACAGTTATGAAACTGTCTCATTGCTATTTGTTTCTCAATAAAATTAGTTTAAAAATAAATAAAAATAAAAAGATTAGGAAAAAAATGAAAACAAGAATTTGGAGAAGTACTTTTTTTTTTTTTTTTCTTTTTTATGGGACAGCTATTAAAAAGCCCAGTTTAGTATAGTTTCAAACTACTTGGGTAGGAGGGTCAGATATTCCGACGTATTTTCTCCTTCCTTCTCACTCACAGTAGAAGCAAGTGTATCATTTTTTATTTTCAGTGATTTGGCCTCAAAATGCCCAAGAGAGAAATTTTTGGTACAAGTTCAATCATTTGTAGAGAACTTTATAATGTTGCATTTTAACAATTTGTGGTCAGTAGTGCTCACACAGAAAGCAAACTAGCGCTAACAATGACTGTCTTGTTTTACACTTACAAAGTTCCACACTGCAGCTTGGGCAACAGTTACACCTATAGCTCAGTAGAATAAGTGCTTGCCTGGCAAGCATGAGGGTCTGAGTTCAACCCCTGGTTCTGCCGGGGTCGGGGTGGAATCACACCTCTATCTTGCTCTTCTTTAGCAAGTGTTTAATGCTAATATACTGTAAGCCTGAGCAGAACATAGAAACCAAAATGAAATTGTATTTGATTTAGGGATTGAAGAGACAGTGTCCAGATTGGTAAGAAAGAGGTTTGCTTGAAGTAGCCCAGGTGACAGAGCTCAGAATATAACTGGGCGGTTAAAGAAGACTGGAATCCACTGCTGCTGTGTCTGGACCACGGCTCAGAAGACCAAAAGCCTTCAATGGTGACTGATTATGTCTGTTTCTTCAGGTGGCATAACAAGTTGCTCTGATGGCACAAGTAACAGGGACAGTTTTCGCTTAGATGACGACAGCCCCTATGCAGGACCGTTCTGCGGCCGGGCCAGAGTACACACAGATTTCACTCCCAGTCCCTATGACACAGACTCTCTCAAAATCAAGGTAGGCCAATATTGCATTTGCTTTCTGGGTAGTTTGTTAAATGCTGGTGTGGGACCTGTAAAGGAAGGAAAGAAGTGGGGAAGAGGTTTGTGTGTTCTTCCAACAGTTAAAGTGGGGAATTGTAACGATAGTGGCAGAATTTTTAATAAAACACAGGTAGGGTCCTTGAGATCAGTTTTTTCAGGCTAGTATCAGAAGTTGCTGCAAGATATATCAAACAACTTTATAGTCTATTGAGGAAAAGGAATGTACTTTTTCTGAAAATATAAAGCTAGAGGTACCTAGCTTTACTCGATAGCTGCTGGAAAAAAAGTAATGGAACTAAGAAGAAAAGAAGATGGAAATATCAAGCAGGAGTGCAAGAAAGCAAAGATCTGGGAGCCATAGTGAACCAGGCAACACTAGCTCTTTTCTGGTTGGCAACCCTGATTATCACAGATCTTTCTCCCAGTGATATCCTGTCTTGGGTTCATTCTTCTTAGTTTTATCTGCTGTATTCATTTTGTATTGTTGTATAATGAATTGCTTCAAACTTATGTGTTCAAACATCCAAATGCATCATTATGCCACAATTTCTATGGAATGTAAATATGGGGGTGGCTCAGGTAGGGTCTCTGCTTCAGGACTCATCTGGCTGATATTAAGTTGTGAGCTAGTTTGTGATCTCACCTGCAACTCGGAATCCTCCTTCAAGGTCACTTGGCTGTTGGCAGAACACAGCAGTGGTGGACATTGGGCCTTGGGCTTCTGGCTGGATGTAAGCTGGAGGCTGGCCCAAGCCTTTTAGACTCCACCGTAGTGCTCTATAACAGCATGGCAGTCTATTTCATTAGGACTATCAAGGCAAAAGATGGCATATGCTTCAGGACCGTTTTTGAGAAGGGACTTCACATGATTAAGCTTGATGCACCCATATAACCTCCCTTTTAACCAACCCAAAATCAATTAATTTGATGCATTGTCTGCATGGTTTCTTCTGACATATGCAGCAACACAATCACAAGTTTGAAATCCACCATTTTGGTAGCCCTGGGCTCTATAAAGAGACAGTGTTGATTACAGTAGCACACGTAGAAGAAGGATTCATACTAAAATAGTTTTACAGATGTTAAAGCATACCTTTCATTATCACAAGGCATTGTAGGTAAAAGAACATAAATTATAAATTTTCTATACTATGAACACTAGTCCAATGTTAAGGAGTGATGGGGAGATGAAGTATCGATGCTATTTTGTTCTTAAGGCATTCAGTTTTCTTATTTCCTTATATGCTATTAAGTCCGGGTAAACGCAGGGAAGGAGGAAAAACAATGTTCCCCACAGCTAACTTCAGTGTCTGAAATGACTGGGAAGTCTAAACTCAAGTCTGGAAGAGGCTTGTGTTGTAGATGCATTGTGAAGGGAAGACGGCAAAAGGGAGCAAGGTATTTTGATTCAGGATTATTTTTAAACTTCCCTTAGTACAACATCGGTGTTCTGGTTCTGGTGCTCCCTGGGATGATTTTTATGGAGCTATTACATAGAATACCCAAGATCCCGTAGTTAGCATGAAACATCGAAATCTCATTTTTATAGCAATGGTTTTATCCAAAGTGAAGTTGAGACTTTGCTCAGGTGACCTTTGAGTTTTCTGGAATGTACAATTGCCACATTAAAGGATGTAAGTTACAAGTTAATAAGCTTTAAGGATAATAGAAAGGACCTTGAAAAGGCCAGTCAAGCCTAGTAACTTTTTGGATCTGTTTGGAGGTTTCCACATCGGCTTAGTAGGTAGTGTCTGCCCTACGACTTAATTTCCTGTAGTTAAGAGGCAGGGAAACCAAGTCTAACAGATCAGAGGTCCAGATAGGCAGATGACCATGAGTCACAAATATCACATCCCTTGACCACATTGCATTGTAAATTTACAAAGAAAATTTGTGTTTGTTACAAATTATACATTCAAAATTCAGCATGAAATATCTATTTTATTAGCATATTCAATGCAGTGTTAATTAAATGTGGCACACGTATTAGAATCTGTAACACCCTCTCTGGGGCAGAGACGTTCAAGATTCAAAGGCATAACTAGTGCACTCTGAAATCTATACCCTGATTTACATAGAATTCAATATTCTTTACCAAGAAATACTCGCTGGGGTTTTCTATTTTGACCAGTAACTGCAAGCATGTAGCCAAATATAGTGTAAGACATAAATAACCAAAATACTGTTCTGGGGACTGGGGAGATGGCTCAGTAAAATAAGCACTTGCCTGGCAAGTGCAAGGGACTGAGTTCAATCCCCAGTTCCACCAAAAAAAAAAAAAAAAATACTGTTCCATTTGAACCATCTTAATGTGCTTCCTTCATACTTAAGTGCCAAGTTCTGTGGAGATCACTCTAAATATTAGCTATCTTGATAAGAAAAAGCATTAAGAATGAAGTAGCATAACTCAATATGCACATATTTTGCTATATACTTGGTGAGTTCTGGCTAATTTTATTTTTTATGTGGATTGAATGTTTTAAAAAGATTTACTATATACTGCAATTTTATTAAATTAACTAGAATCACAAACAGAGCCATAGACTACTATTTCTTGTTGTTCTGGAGCAGAAAAGCCCCTCCAAAGATAGTGAGAATAGTACTTTCATAACATGCATCAAAGGAACATCATTTTTAAGTTCAGTCAACTTGAGCTTGAGTTGTCACTAGCTTACAGAAAGCTCTTGAGAAGTCATTCGCTATCTCTGCTACTTTTTTGAAATATTTAAAATAGTAAATTCATGCTTCACATATGTCTCTATGAGGTACATTGTGAATATGAAATGACTTATTGTATTCAAAATTGTTATGTAAATTATATTGGGCACTACAGGTATGCTACAATGATTTAACAAAAACAGAAATGTGCTGCTCTATCTATGTAAGCTTTTCTTCAAGCATTTTTAAGTTTTCATTATTTTTTTATTTTTATTTATTTATTTTTTTGGTACTAGGTATTGAACTCAGGACCTTGTGCTTGCCAGGCAGGTGCTTAAGCCACTGAGCTATGTCCCCAGGCCGGAAGTTTTCTTTATTATTACTGGAAAACTATTTCCTTAACAAGTGAACTCAGACTTTTTTGTTTTTGTTTGTTGTTTGTTGTTATTATTATTTTCAAGACAGGATTTTGCTATGCAGTTAAGGTTGGCCTTGAACTCACATTGTAGCTCAAGCTGGCTTCAGACTTGCAGTGACCCTCCTGCTCTTGCCCCCTGAGTGCTGGGCTTCCAGGTGTGCACCATCTGCACGGCTCTCAGACCTATCATAGATATCTTTGAATCTGTTTAGCATGATGCACCCATTACTTCAATTTTTCAATCATTTTTTCTACCAAGCTTCATAGGACCATGCTGCTTTGACATCTAACCTGTATTTGTATATGGCTTTTCCCTTAGAAAGGGGACATCATAGACATTATCTGCAAAACACCAATGGGAATATGGACGGGAATGTTGAACAATAAAGTGGGAAACTTCAAGTTTATTTATGTGGATGTCATCTCAGAAGAGGAAGCAGCCCCTAAGAAAATAAAGGCACGCCGAGCGGGTACGAAAGAAGAACCTGAGACTCTTCAGGAGTTCTTAGAGAAGATTCACCTTCAGGTGAGCTACCCACTGTCCTGTTTTTAGTGGTATATGGATGGATTAATTGATGAGAGTGGATTAGTGTTTGCTTAGTGTTGTTTAAAAATATAAGACTTACAGCAAAGGAAATTCTGTTTTCCTAGAACAGCTCTTATTTCTCTTTTATTACTTTTATTATGCAAGGACAGGTCTTGATATAACATCTCTTGGACTAAACCCTAATGGTACTTAGCAGTGACAGTAGAGATTAATGTTGAGAGAGTGCAATAGAAAATGAAAATATCTAGGAGAATAAAAGAACAGGGGAAATGTTTAAGTAAGAAATGGCATATAAAGAGAAAAAGTAAGAGCCCAAGGAAGTGAAAAGAAAAATGAAAATCATATTTTCTATTAAGCATAAATTAAAATTAAGCCCAGAGAAGATAACCAAATAGGGTCATTTAAACAGTGATCATTAAGCTTCACAGTAATGGTGTTCAGAATATTGTCATCTGTTTTTATCCTCTAATTTTTTTCATATTACATAAGTAAAATTTTAATAAAATATCTACCTTCTTAAAAGATGTGTACACACTTTCTACTTATTCTTACTTTACATTTGCAACCCATTTCTAAAATTAGCTTAGTCATATTTTGATAAATTTAAGAATTCATAAAGTCAATAGCCAATTAAAGTTTTCCTTATTGATTTTTCTGAACTATTTAACCTTCTTGTCTGTACATATATTATCTAAGCATTCCAACATTATTATTGGTATATCCCAGAGGAAATATAATTTTGAGTCCTGCCTCTCTACCTAGTCCGTGATTTATAGAAAAAACTGAACATCTGAGGGAGTACATGATTTATTCAAGAACCCAAAGGGAGATGGTCAGAATAGAAATTCTGGTGTTCTGTGTTCTAATTCTAATTCAGAGCTCTTACAGAATGTATTACTTTTTCAAAAAGTCTGTCTTTCCTTTTTGTTGTTAAAATAGGGCTGGCGATGAAATTTCCTAATTACTTAAAACTTCTAGACTTCCTCTTACTTAGTTTTAGTAACTAAAATAAAGATATTGAAATTATAATCAAGTGAAATAGGGAGAATTTTTGAGGATGTTAAAAAAGCATTTAACTTCAGCGAACTTATATTGTGTTAGAGGAAAAAAGAGAGATTGTATAAATAACTGGTAGACTAAAATCAAAAGCCTATGAATTTTAAATTAATATATATTAATGCAAATAATGGGAAAACATACATTTTGAAAAAACTGAAATAATGTATTTGTAACTCACTGTTTTTCTGGTCAATAAAGTTTTAGTTAAATACTTCGTGTTGGTGTACCTAATCCCTCTCAATCAAAATGCAAAACTCACTTTGTGTATAGACTTGTGTCTGTTTCATATCCGTTTCTAACCAACTCCAAGAAGTTAGTGAAAGTATGTATTTCTGTGATCAAAAAACAGGAAGGTGTGTAATTTACACAGCAGTACAATGTACTCTGCTATAGGCATTGCATTGCTAGGCTTACAGAAATGCTACTTCTCTCTGTTTAGGTAATTGAGAAGCAAAATGTGCCAAATGGAACGTATGATGCAGCTATTAAATTAATTCACGATTTAACATTGAGTAGATTAAGATAATTATGTCTTCTTATGTCTCATCTTCCAGAAAGTGAGAATTATACAACATGCTCTTTAAATACCCCAGAGTTCATGTGTGGAAATCTAGTACAAGTCAAATAAAGTTAAACAACTTATATTGGCATCTCTGGTTTCCATATGCATTCCGTACTTTGTTTAAATCTAAAGGGAACTAAAAATAAAATATTTGAATCTTACTGGTTTACACTGAATTAACATACTCTTTCTCCCCCACAGGAATATACCTCTACCCTTTTGCTTAATGGATATGAGACTCTAGAAGATTTAAAGGATATACAAGAGTGTCATCTCATTGAATTAAACATTGTAAACCCAGAAGACAGAATGAGGTTACTATCAGCTGCTGAAAACCTCGTCGATGAAGAAAGTAAGTGTACACATCTGCTCTTTGTGCTAGCTGATAATCATGGTTTAAAGTAAATAGTGAAATCGCCAAAAACCAAAGCTCTGATTTTATTTACTGAGAATCACATAAAGCATTATTTCCATAAAATAAGAGGTTTCCTATAACCTTGGAAGCAATGACTCTGATCAAATCTGTAATTGGGGAAAGGGATTTTTTTTTCCTCATTGGACTCAAAACTGAAAGGGCTCTGTGGGTCCCTCATTCTATTTTGCAGAACTCTTAATTTATATGCAAGTGGATGCCTATATTCCCAAAGACTGAGGGAGCCAGAGACAAATATTTAGTGACAGCATGAGCCATTAGTGAGAAATGTCACACATGGCTTCTGTGGAACAACACAGAGCAAGCCACTAACCTAATGAGCCTCCGCTCCACACAGGAAAATTCATTTCATTACTACATAGTCACATCTTGTATGTGTTTATTGTACTCTTTCAAAATATTATAATAGCTTGCAAAAAGATTCAGCACTCACTTTTATTATCTAAGGTAATTTTCTGTATTTAAAGCATAAACTGGAGACACAAACACACCTACAAACTCATTTACAGCTGAAAGTGGCTATGTCAATAGTCTTGTAAAGGTAGAGTCACTTTTGTCTGTATAACTAATCATCCTGGACTTGGTATAAAATCTCTTCAAGCCTCCAAAGCCTGAGCTTGGAATGTGCCAATTTAAACAGAGCATTTTGTGAAGGAAAATGGGGGTAGAGAGTCATCTAAACTTTAAGGCAGCACAAATAAATTTTGAAATTCGTCTCTGAATTATTTCCTGTTCTATAAATTGGACAAAATACCTGAATGTATGCTTCTGCAGAAGAAAAGTGATCCTTTTGCAAGTGTTTACAGATATACTTTGTCCTTCTGCTGCATGGTCAAATTATTTTGGACAGTATTGGTAGTGGTTCTAAAGGTGATCAGTAGGAGTAATCTACAGAATCATCTTCGTGGCCAAATGTTCAGTGAAGAGTGATGTCGTGAACTGATAAGATGTAAGAAGAACTTCCTCATTTACCTGAAAGATATTCCTACATCATCTTGCAGAGACAGCAAAGAAGTTAGGCCATTAAATCCAGACTTCTCTTTCAAAACTAATATTAGTCATAATTATTAACTAGTATATTTTTTTGGAACGTGGGTTCTGAGAATAACTTTAGGCAAAGTCTTTCTGTTTATTTTTATTAGTGCTCCTCACCTGGCTCTAAGTTAAACAGCACTACCTCCATTTTGCGAAGGAGGTAGTTGAGATGCATAGCTTATCTAAGCTGACACTCCTAATGAATGGTAGAGAGGATTCCAACCCAGTGTTTAAAAAAACCATGCTGTACTTTCTAAGACTACGAGTAACAGCCCAGATGGAGAGAAAGGAAAAAAGCTGCACTTTGTGTCTAGGCCTCCCGACTTCCTCTGGGGCTGTTCTATAGCGCTGTCATAAAGCCAACAAGTTTAGGTATGGCACGAGTTTACTGTACGCTGGCTTCTTACAAAGCAGACATTCATTTGCATTTTTAGAAACCGTTCCTTGTTTTGTTTGTGCTTGGTTTATCGTGTTTCCGTAGATTGTCTTCCTTTGTCCAGAGATAGCACAGTGCACATGTGTCATTATCTGAAATCGCTAGCCTAGGTCTGCAGTGCTCTTTCTTTGAAGTTTTGGAGATTGGGTGATAAATACAAGGAGATAATAGAGTCACAAAGATAGAAAAAAATCTAACCTCCCTAAGGTGATCGAAGGTAGCTGATTTCCTCAATAGTACTGGCTACCTAAAAATCTCTGGAAGTTGATGTGGCAATATCCTTCAGGCAAATGAGCAAGGTTTTCTTACACCTTGTCAGTTGAAGGCATCACTCTTCACTAAACATTTAACCACCAAGAAGATTCTGTAGATTGCTTCCACTGATCATCTTTAGTGCCACTACCGATACTCTCCAAAATAATTTGACCATGCAGCCTAAGGAGAGAGGAGAATATTTGTAAACACTTACAAAAAAAAATCACTTCTCTTCTTCAGTTGCATACATGTAGGTATTTTGTCCAATTTATACACAAGGAAATAATTCAGAGATGAATTTCAAAGAAGCCAATTAGTTAAATAAATAGGAGAGGTAAGATTTTAATCAAAGGCAAACTGCTGTAAAACCCAAAGTACTGTCCTCCACTTAAGCAAAGTGTAAATATAAGAACAGCGCATATTTAGAGACTGAAATCTTCTGCTACTTCAGTTTCCTCAAGGGCTTCAGCTCAGTGTTAACATCTTGAAAAGTTGAATGTGTAAGTGGGAACAAAAGCCTGACAATAGCAGAACTCCCTGGAAGGCAGGAGGCTACTCTGGCTACCTCACAAAGACCTCAAGAAGAGGAGGCTGGGAGCCAGCAAGCTGTGCTACCAGTGGTGAGCCAGTGCTCAGCAGGGACCCCTAAAAGAACGCGGGTGCAAGGCCAGAAGGTTACACTGACCTCACTTCTGGTCACACGTCTACTTTCTGTATTAACTGGAAAGTGATGGCTTACGTGTGATACCAAATTGAGGGGTGGGTGTAATTTAAAAAAAAAAAAAATTGACCCAAATTCTTCCTTTGTAAAATGGGAAAAACAGAGTCTAAAGAGCTGGGTGGTTTGTTTAAGTTCATGCTCCTGGAACTTAATCTGCTAAGCTTATCTGAAACACTATATCCTGGTTTGCAAAGGAAATAATAGTTTCTAAGCTTAAAGTGACTTTGTGGTGTTCGTTATTTTATAAAGGACAAGTCCTAGAAATTATTTCCCTCTATAAACCTTTAGAAAACTATATATGAAGAGCAAGAGGAACCGATACTTCATGGCAATAGCCAGTCATGTATAAACACGCACACACACAAGCAAGTTCTCATACATGATAGAAAAGTGCAGATTCAACAGTGTTACTTGGCAATACACAGACCTTTTCCTGTATTAACCAGATGAGCTAGTAGTATTAAAATATATGCATCAGAAGAATGTATAGTGGATGTTAGGCTGTTGTGACTGAAAGCTATTTATCTTATGTGAAACTGCTTTGCTCAAGAAATAAAGAATGACTTCCATTTGTTGATGAGATAGTGAATTCTGATGATTTGCAACATGCTGCAGCATGCTTATTTTTATCTAGCCTAAACTCTGTGAATCACATCTACAACAATGCTAAAGATTAGACACACAACCTTCATGCACCTTGAATGATAACTACCTTGAATATATGGTTACATAAGGCCGAGACATTATTTAAAAAAGACATACATATCACAGTCACAGGCTAAAAATAATTTTTATTTAGAAAAAGAATGGGGGATGCACAATGGGCTAGATTTTATATATACATTTTTATTTTAATAATTGTGTAATACAAATTTGGGGAATTTCAATAAATTCTTAGTTTAGGGTTTTCTTATTTTTAAGTTAGGAGCTTGTAAAACCTTTGCTTGCTGATAATTCAATATAAAAACAGAGCAAACTGGGGATGTTACCTGAGGGTTAGAGCTATCAGTGGGAGATCACGCAGGAAAGAGCAAATCGTGTGTGCATCTTTAATACATCTCCGGAAACGAAGAGGATAGAAGATAGGACAGGGGAAAACCAGTGGTAGAATATTTACAACGAGCAGGCTTTCTATTTTCTTGGCCTGAGATATACAGCATTGTTCCCACTGTGACCTTGAGTGTGTAAGCCGGATTAAGCTTTCTAGGTCACTGCTTGGCAGGAGATAAAGATGCCTCTCCAAGAAACAGATAGAAGGGCTAGCGAGTGGCGCTAGGACTGATCACAGGATTACTGCTGAAGGGGGTAATCACCACAGGAATCTGAGCAAGACCAGGAGTGAGATGCAAAATTTGCTCCCACGCTGCACAAGAACTGAGCAGGACACCAACTCCCTCAGTTAGGAATCTAGATAAGGTTAGAGAGAAGGAAAATTGGGTGACACCCAGCTCTGGAAGAAGAAAGAGAGCCAAGTCTGTTTATCTTGTGCATATCAGGGTTTCTATTTTTATGATCTCACTTTAACAATCACTTATTTACTTTGGGAGTAAATATTTCCAGCAAATAAAAATGTGCATAAAGAATGTGTGCACACGTGCCTGAGTGTTTGCATAAACACAATTTTAAAGCTCCTTTGCCTTACTGAAAAGTGCTTCCCTAGGACAATAAGATGGTTAACTGCTGTTTATAGTACATGTTTTCCTTCTATTGTTCAGTTGTCTCTTTTTCCACATTTAGAAGCACTTTAATGTGTGTTCAACTTGTGCCAACAAGAAAGTGCACTGTTGTCTTTGGGGAAAATGGGCAATGGAAATAATTTCCCTGAAGTATAAAAAAATTCAATTTTAAACTGAAAAAAATAGTAATGAAATTAGTAAATGTTACAGAAATCTGTTACAGTGTATCCAGATACCTGCAAACCCTGACTGCAGTGGCAAATGAGGAAGAAGGGGAAGGGTTGGGTGTGAGCCAGGCCTTTGGCATGAGCTCTGGGCCCAGCATCCCGCGCCGCTCAGCCGTTCCCCAGCTGTGCCTTCCTGCCTGTCTACCTGCCCAAATCCATGCAGGCAAGTGGGGGGCCCAGTCAGGTGCTGGAAGATGAGCCGCCAGCAAGCGAGACTTGCAGCTATGCCAAGCCTCGGTCCAGCAGTTGGTCCATGGCGTGCCAGGACAGCCTGGTGCCACTGCCCTGACATGTGTAGCTGAGCTTGCCACTGCACTCGCCATGTGACTTGAGTTTAAATTCAAGAATTGTACAGTTTTTAAGAGAAATGTGCATCTACATGTAGAAAGAGAAGGCAAATGGTTTACTTGTATGTATTTACAAAATTGGATTTAATATCTATTTCTAGTTATGGCTCTTTGGCTTTATTTAATTTCTCAGATTTATTTTTGGCTCTAGTCTCTAAGAGTCCATTTATAACAGATACCATGTTCACTGTAATAAAAATAAAGCGAAATATAAGCAATTTT